TATGTACATGTATTAGCTATTTCTAAATTTTTACAAATTAAGAGATTCTGATGAATTTATTTTTTTTGCCGAGTCAAGTTAGTGTCATCATGTATACCTGAGGGCAGATGTTCTCCAAAAAGCCTGTGGAAACACCATCTTTACTAGATAATTGAGTGCCCCCGTGTCTTTTCATGTTGTTTCACGGTAGAATTGTGAGGTAGGTACTAAATACGAAGAAAGAACAGACCCATGTTACAGATGCACTGAGAAACCAAGAACTGCTGGCCATCACACACCTGTAAGCAGCAGATCAAGGACTGAATCCCAGATTTTCTGACTCCAATGCCACTGCAATTTTCATTTTCTAGGCTGTCTAGTCCTGCAGATAAAAGTTATAGCTAGCACTCAGGTCAGATTTCCTGGGTTCCAATGTTGCTTTGCAGGGCCCTAAAGTACTTATAAGATCTGCAAGATGTATTAAGAAGCAATGTGATATATTGTATTTTACCATTTTGTGCAAAAAAAAGGGAAACTTTTTAAAGAGAATGTATGTCTGCGTTTGCTTATTATGCATAAACTATCAGTCGCCTACAGGTTCTCCATCTGTAAAATGTGGGTGATGGGATTTCATTCAATAATGCAAATATTAGAACAGTGCATACTGAAGTACCATTTTATTTGGATTCTGAATCTAAATAATTCCTTGGCTTAATCATATTTTAAAACACCCCTTTAAAGATAATTTTCAATTGCATAGGCAAGATGAAAACGTGGAAAGCCACTGCAAAATGTAATTACTTAAAGCTGCTTTAAATTAGGCCCAAAGCAGAGTGATTAGCCAATCCTGAAAGATGTGGATGAACCACAATTATAGATCTCAAAGAACTATTGCTGTTCACCCTTTTACTAAACTTAATAACTAAAATCCTTTTTTTTCCTAAATGGGGTCATGTAGATGTTTACTACAATGTATTTTGACAGTTTGCTACTCTAAATGGTATGAACAAGTTTAAAGAAAAATCTTAAACAAAATATGACCTTAGATTACAACCTAAAAATATATTTACAAGTCTCAACGATGTTACTGTTGCCATTTTAACTTTAAATTAGTAGAAGACATACTTTAATCTGCCGTAAAATCCTGGAGAAAAAAACTACACTAGGATTATATTCAAAACACAGGGTTTAGGGAAATGGGCTTAAAAATTTTTTTTAATGTTTATTATTTTTGAGAGAGAGAGAGAGAGAGAGAGAGAGAGAGAGAGAGAGAGAGAGAAAGCACCAGCGGGGGAGGGGCAGAGAGCGAGGGAGACCCAGAAACAGAAGCCGGCTCCAGGCTGTGAGCTGTCAGCTCAGAGCCTGACCTGGGGGCTCGAACCCACAAACTGCAAGATCATGACCTGAGCTGAAGTGGCAGACTTAACTGACGGAGCCAGATGCCCCAAAAGGGCTCTTTAAAAAAATATTTGCTTCAGCCTTTTAGAGGCCAGACAAGGTGACAAAAACAGACCCCCACCCAGAGCCGTATGGGGTTTTCTGTCTCCTCCCGAGCATTTTCTTGCTTTCTTCCGCAGAGGACCAAAGAAAGTGACCTCCAGGTGGGGCGTCTCCAGGGGCGGGCCAGAGTGGCCTCTGTGCTTCGAAGACCCGAGTCCGCAGACCAGCCGCTGACAGGTGTCCCAGCGCACCCACTAGCGCGGGTCGCGCGGCCCCGGGAGCAGCCACGGGGAAAAGGCAGCCAGGTGTCCGCCTTGCCGCCGGGGACCGCAGCATACCCTCGGAGCCGCCCCAGTCCCCCTTCCTCGGAACCTGGGTGCACCCCCGAGCCGCGCGTGACTTCCTCGGGACTCGCGTTCTCGTCGCGTTCCATCCCCAACCGAGAGCAGAATGTGACCTCTGTCCTGAGAAAAGGCTGTGGCTAGTGTCTAACCCTGACTCACAGTATGGCTCGAGATACCTCCCACCCCTCAAAAGTCTGGGTCATTATCGCAACAGAAATAAGAGCACCTGGTCAGTGATGCCCAGTAGGTTACTTAGATATAAATCAAGGACTTAGGTGTAATTTTGCCTTTCCTTAGGTTCTATTTTTAAAATGGATTCTCTGTAAGGTATGTAAAAAGTATCCGGTCATCTGCAATCATAGGACCTTGGGAAAGACTTGCCTATAATCTGGGATGGCTTTGGAGTCATACTTCTTTAATTTTCCTTTCTTTCCTGGGCATAATAATGAACGTTTCGTGGTCTTTCTTTGCTCCTGGAACATTCTTGGACCATTCTGTTACTTTATTTGGAATGTTGGATTATTTTTTTCACCTTCCAAAAGAGCTGTAATGGTGAAATACTAGAAAAATGAAAAGGTGAGATTTGAACCAGGAGCTATAGTTTTATAAGCTTCTGTCGAAATGTTTGTGGGCATCTACCGAAGAATTCTAGCGTTCATTGTAGTGCTGAATACACATACATATCTATAAAAATTACTTTTAAAATTGTTGTGGGTCCATATTTTCAGACAGAATAATTCAATTGAAAGTACACATATTTCCAATCATTACAGTTTTAGGATTATATAAAAGTACTTAAGTGTGCAATGTCACATTTTAATGAACTGTGCAGATTTCACAGATGTCACTTTTCTCACTTTTATTTTACTAACTGGAAATTATCTTTAATACTTTTCTCTCTTACCAACATCCACTTTCATTTGACTTTTCGTAGATTAGATGTTAACTGCAATTTTGGATTCCATGTAAAACTTTCAAATACTCAACTTTTAGTCTTTAGTCTTTGCTTCCTTCCCTCATATCACCATTTCTTTACATTTTCAAAAATTTGTCATTCCTGTTAAAATATTTATATGACCTAGTATTATCTCCAATAATGTTCAAACCTAAACCATTTGAAGTTTACTCAAGAAGGCATGGAAAATAAATCTAGGGTGGCACCCTAATCTTAATCTTACATAACACTGTGCAGTTAATATTACTATGATGTACAATTATGACTGATTGTGGGAATCATTCCAAAGAAAATTCTCATTAATTAATATTTCCAAGGAATTAAACAAGAGCAGAGCTATTTGCATTGTTCTATTGGTAGTGACTGCTTTCAATTGGTATTTCTTACATTTTAATCTCATTACAAACACTGATTAGCATATCAAGATAATTTTATACCACATGTATATGATTGGGTAAGGGCACCAGGAAAATGCAGTGTGAAGAAAGAATTTATGAAAGGAAAGAAGCTAGAAATATCGACTTAGAAAAGGGTTTTGTTGCTAGAAAAAGATGAATGAGCCTCTAGGGAAACTTCATATGGCCTGGTTTCTTTCATGAAAATTCTCTCAAAAAGAGAAGGCTATGAACCTCCTAATGAAGAAATTAAACACACACACACCACATTTTTAGAAGTTTCTATCTACAAAGAGTGGTAAAACAAGAAGACACAGGAAGGCTATTCCAGAAGACTTCTTTCATTAAAAAAAAAAAAAAAAGGTATTTGGGTTGTGAGAAGTAACTGCAAGCTAGGACTAGAACTACATCCTACAATGAAATAGAAAGTAAGTAAGCCCCATACAAGTTTGCCTTTAACTGTTTCCCCATTGTTTTATATATTCCTTTTCCTCTTCCAATTTGATTGTGGGTTCCTCTCCAAAAGGAAGTATTTCTTTTGCACAAGCCACAGAACTTCGTTTAGCACTGGACACATAGTAGGTTTCAAGCATTTAATAGATGGGCTCTAGGAGTTGCAGTGATGTTCCACACGTGGAAGAGATATACTGATGTAGTAACTAGCTCATTAAAAATAAAAGTTCTTTCCTGAAAGGAGCATTTCTCAGAGCTGCCCTGATTGCCAACCAAAAAGGCCTCATCCGGGTTTGCCCTAGATTTATGCTAACATTTAGTTAAAATCAATAGGACGACATAAAATTAATCCATTTATTTAAATGGGATAGGCCACTTGAGAAGCAGTGATTTCACAAGTATCAGGGATAGGAAATTGTGTGGATAAACTTGCTAATGCTGTTGATCAGTTTCTATACGAGATCAAGTGGAAAGACTGAATTTGAAAAGTTCTTCTTAGGTTTCTCAGGCTAGCAATCAAATCAGTGTACACTGAAAAAAAAAATGTACCACGAGAGCAGACACACACAGGTCTCTTTATAGCGTAATAGAATTAGAATTAAAAGGCAAACTGTGGGATTGAAATCTATTCTAAACTGAAAAACTAGACGTCTGGAGTGCCATATGGGGTGAACGTGTGATATGGGCTTCGATAAAAGCAGCTGGCTTTGAATGGAACAAGCCAAGAGGCCAGCCCCAAAAGCATATTCGTTCGGGTCCCGGCCACCGAGTTGAAACCCTCGCTGATTCACCGGCTGTGAAGGAAGCCCCTTGGGTCTTCCGCCCCTCGCTGCCCTGGGTGCTTGGGCCTTGTACTCATCTGCAGCGGGGCGGTGATCCGAAGGCAGGGGCGGGGGAGGAGCCAGCCCCGGGCGGACAGGCGACTAGCGGTGGAAGTGGCTCAAAGGGGTTGTCCCGGACCTTCGAGAGGACCAGGCTAAAGCCTGGAGGTTTACTGCCGAGGGAAGGCATACTCCAATGTCTACATCACCTTTACAATTTAAAACAGGAACGGCAGAAGGAATATTCCGCACATCCCGGCCCGGCCGCCTTCTGGCCGCCCCACCCCCCAGCTGGAGCCGAAAGTAATTCATACAAAGGAGGACTCGCCTCAGCCTTGGGGAATCCCAGGGACCGTCGTTAAACTCTCGATAACCTAGAACCGAAGGCTCGCTCGACCCCACCTCCCCACCCACTCGCTCTTGTCATCATTTGGGTCAAAAGGAGCATGCGCGAGGCGAAGTGTGCTCTTCAGTGGGATGAGCGCACATCGCCCACGGTCCCCGAGAAGTAGGGGGGAAGGGACGGCGATTGAACGGGTGCCTGGTAGAGTTGGCGCGGGGTAAACTGGGAAAGTGGTGTCGTGTGCTGGCTCCGCCCTCTTCCCCGAGGGTGGGGGAGGATCGTATATAAGTGCCGTAGCCGCCTTGAACGTTCTTTTTCGCAACGGGTTTGCCGCCAGAACACAGGTGAGTACCGGGTGTGGTTTCCGCGGGCCTGGCCTCTTGGAGCCGGTTGCGGCCCTCGCTTGCCTGTTACAACTGCCGCGCCATCCAGGCACTTTACGAGGTTCTTGACCCCGAATTTCGGGTTGTGAGTGGGTGGGAAGGTTCGCGGCCTTGCGTTTTTTCAGGATCCCTCCCCCCCCCCCCACCTTCGCCTCGTGCTTGGGTTGAGGCCTGGCTTGGGCGCTGTGGCCGTCGCGTGCGAATTCCCCGCACCTTCTCGCCTGCCTTGTCACAATCTTTAAGTCTCGAGCAAATTAACCGGTCCAGAAAAAGCTGCTATGCTTGTCCGCGTCAAGATAGTTTCGCGGAGGTTGGTCAGGATCTCAGCAGGGTGGGCTTTTTCGCGGTCGTCGGGTTTTTGGGGTTGTGGGGCCGCCGCGAGGCGCGGAGGGCGGTGGCGAGGCCGGCTCGTCCGGGCGCACATGTCCGGCGAGGCGGGGCCCACAAGCGGTGGCCACCGAGTCGGGCGCGGGAGGGCACCGTGGAGTGGGACGGGCGGCTCTGGGGGCCTGCCTCGTGCCGTCCGCCTCGGCCGGCCAGGCCGGCCCGCTCGGCACCAGTTGCGTGCGCGGAAAGATGGCCGCTCTCCGGCCCTGCTGCAGGGAGCTCAAAATGGAGGACGCGGCGGCCCGGGAGAGCGGGCGGGTGAGTCACCCACACAAAGGAAAAGGGCCTTTCCCTCTCCGGCCGCCGCTTCCTGTGACCCCACGGTGTACCCGGCGCCGTCTTGGCACCTCGATTTCTTCTCAACGACTTGGAAGCAGGCCTTCCTCGAGGGGGAGGGGATTTTGTGCGGTGGAGTTGACCCCACGCTTGGTGGGTGGAGACTAGAGTTGGGCCAGCCTGGCACTGGTTGTAATTCTCCTTGGAATTTGCCCTTTAAGAGTTTGGATCGTGGCTTATTCTCAAGTCTTTGGGACAGTAGTGTTAAGGGTATTTTTCTTCCAATTTAGGTGTCGTGAAAACCACCGCTAAATCTAAACCAAAATGGGAAAGGAAAAGACTCATATCAACATCGTCGTCATTGGACACGTAGATTCGGGCAAGTCTACCACTACTGGTCATCTGATCTACAAATGTGGTGGGATCGACAAAAGAACTATCGAAAAATTTGAGAAGGAGGCTGCTGAGGTAGGTGCAGCAACATAATGAGGAAGGTAGTTGGAAGTAAGTTGGTTAGCAGGTGTTAGGTGGTAACTCAAAACTAGTCAGTAGTGTGGATCTGAATGTCCTACTTAAAGGGGGAATAAACTAGTGTTTGCTGTTAAACTTCTTACGTATGTTCGTGTGAGTCATCTAACAGTTGTTGAACTGAAACTTCACGTTTCTGCTGAAGTGGGAGTAAGGGATTTCCAAGTTGAAGATGGATCATGTTTTAGTTCCCAAGTAACCCATTTTCAATTCTTACAGATGGGAAAGGGCTCCTTCAAGTATGCCTGGGTCTTGGATAAACTGAAAGCCGAACGTGAACGTGGTATCACCATTGATATCTCCCTGTGGAAATTCGAGACCAGCAAGTACTATGTGACCATCATTGATGCCCCAGGACACAGAGACTTTATCAAAAATATGATTACGGGCACATCTCAGGTTGGTATGATTAATAGTAACTTAAATAATGAGATTTGCCTTGTGCAATGGAAAAAGGGTGAGTTCATCCTTTTGAAGAAGCTGTAACCGGATATGGTCTTGTTTTCTTTTCAAAGGCTGACTGTGCTGTCCTGATCGTTGCTGCTGGTGTTGGCGAATTTGAAGCAGGTATCTCCAAGAATGGGCAGACCCGTGAGCATGCCCTTCTGGCTTACACACTGGGTGTAAAACAACTTATTGTCGGTGTTAACAAAATGGATTCCACTGAGCCACCCTACAGCCAGAAGAGATACGAGGAAATCGTTAAGGAAGTCAGCACCTACATTAAGAAAATTGGCTACAACCCCGACACCGTAGCATTTGTGCCAATTTCTGGTTGGAATGGTGACAACATGCTGGAGCCAAGTGCTAATGTAAGTGACTTTCAAGACTTGGAGGAAGTGATGGAAGGGGACAGATGTTGAGACTAATTGACAACCATTTGGGGGATGCTAATTGACAATCTTGTTTTAGATGCCTTGGTTCAAGGGATGGAAAGTCACCCGTAAAGATGGCAATGCCAGTGGGACCACACTGCTTGAAGCTCTGGATTGCATTCTGCCACCTACTCGTCCAACTGACAAGCCCTTGCGTCTGCCCCTCCAGGATGTCTACAAAATTGGTGGTAAGTTGAACATCACTATCAGGACGTAACTTGTGCTGGTTGCTGCACTTTTTTCACGTAAGGTATTTGACACTCTGCTGTAAATATTTCAGGTATTGGTACTGTCCCTGTGGGTCGAGTGGAGACCGGTGTTCTTAAGCCAGGCATGGTGGTCACTTTTGCTCCAGTCAATGTTACAACTGAAGTAAAGTCTGTTGAAATGCACCATGAAGCTTTGAGTGAGGCTCTACCTGGGGACAACGTGGGCTTCAATGTCAAGAACGTATCTGTCAAAGATGTTCGTCGTGGCAATGTGGCTGGTGATAGCAAAAATGACCCACCAATGGAAGCAGCTGGCTTCACAGCTCAGGTAACACTGGAAAGTGGCAATGTTCTCACTGAACTGCCAGACTTGGTGTTTTGAGGCTCATTAAATGCAACTCTTTTTCAGGTGATTATCCTGAACCATCCAGGCCAAATCAGTGCCGGATATGCACCTGTGCTGGACTGTCACACAGCTCACATCGCCTGCAAGTTTGCTGAGCTGAAGGAGAAGATTGATCGTCGTTCTGGAAAAAAGCTGGAAGATGGTCCCAAGTTCTTAAAATCTGGTGATGCTGCCATCGTTGATATGGTTCCTGGCAAGCCCATGTGTGTTGAGAGCTTCTCTGACTATCCTCCTCTGGGTAAGGATGACTTGAGTGTAATTAGAAACTTTACTGAAGATGGGAAATACCAGAACAAAGTTTCTGATGACAATCTAAAATTTGTTTTAATAGGCCGTTTTGCTGTCCGTGACATGAGACAGACGGTTGCTGTGGGTGTCATCAAAGCAGTGGACAAGAAGGCAGCTGGAGCTGGCAAGGTCACCAAGTCTGCCCAGAAAGCTCAGAAGGCTAAATGAATATTATCCCCAATACCTGCCACCCCAGTCTTAATCAGTGGTGGAAGAACGGTCTCAGAACTGTTTGTGTCAATTGGCCATTTAAGTTTAATAGTAAAAGACTGGTTAATGATAACAATGCATCGTAAAACCTTCAGAAGGAAAGGAGAATGTTTTGTGGACCATTTGTTTTTTTTGTGTGTGGCAGTTTTAAGTTATTAGTTTTTAAAATCAGTACTTTTTAATGGAAACAACTTTGACCAAAAATCTGTCACAGAATTTTGAGACCCATTAAAACAAAAGTTTAATGAGAAACCCGTGTCTTCTTTTGGTCAACACTACAAGCTTGTACTATTCAGGTAAAAAGATTAAGAGTTGCCCATAACCTATTCCTGGTGTTAACATCTGTTGAAACTGTGATTTGGGTTAAGGCCCCCCCCCCCCCCCCGGGCTGGGAAACATTTTTACCACCTCAGGGAAAAGAAACAAGTACATAGAGGTATGGGAAAAGGGGATCTGCAACACAGTTTAGAACAGTAACACCGTTAAGGTAGGTTATAAAAAGTTAAATTTTGTAAATCAAAGCCAACGTGTAAGATTTGTATACTATCATTATTGAGTAGACTTGATACATTGTCACAATTGAGTTTCCCACTTATTGGAATGCTTTGTCACATTTATACATCTTGTAGTTTAAAGTATCCTGAAAGGTGAGGCATTCAATAACGTTACTGTATTTAATGGTAGAGTTCATTGTGTCCAAACTGTAGGAGAACAAAGTATATACTGGAATTTTAATGTCACTTGAGAACTAGAAATCCACCTCCATTAGGAATTTTCATCTAAGCCAAGCTTGAGTGAAGAAGGGACATTGCTGCACTGGAGATTTAAAACCCAAAGTGGCAGTACTCAGCCTAAATGAGGACCTGTTTTGGACTGTAGGGTAAGCTTTGTTTTTAGTTGAATATGTTTTGAGATTTTGCTAAAAGTGTCCTTCCAAAATTGTTACCTAACAAGAAGCAATAAAAGAATGACCATTTGAAGTTAATTTGATGGATGAGATGGAAAGTGAAGAGCTCGTTAAACCCCACTGTGGTAATTTTGTAATTTATATAAACTGTATGTAGACTGGTAAATTAACAGTACTTTGGTTGACAACAACGTGGTCTTAAGTTCTTGCCTTTGGATAGCTGGCAAATCTCTTTAACACTGGTGCATTTGATAGAACATTGCATGGATCCTGGCTAATTTGGACATTAATTTCATAAGACCCTATTTGATCCGTAAATTTTAAGTTGCTTTGAAATAGGCAAAATTACAGGACACCTTGTATTTTATAATGCAGACATTTACTAAGTGGAACTTAGTGGCCATAATGAGAACTGCAATTAAAATACTTTTTTCTAAACTAGGTAAAATGCTTGGTCTCTGGGCAGTATTACCAGAGGCATTGTAAATTTAAAGTTAATAAGACTTTGTCTCCACAGCTCCAAAACACCCATTATTTTTTTCCTCTTATTTGTAAAAATATGTTGATTGCTAATTGGTTTAAGATAAGGAGTGGAGATAGGTAAGATTCTTAAACAGCATGTTGGTAAACCAGCATAAGAAATCTTGTGTACTAGGAGGGATTTATTGTTCACACCCCCACCCCCCCAAAAAATCACTTAGCTTCAGAAAATGGCTACCACTAAATGGATAAAGGGAAGTGGAAATAGTGTCCAGAAAAGCTGGGCCAGTTGGGATACTTAACTCCATAGAACCCAATGCGATATAACCTTGTGAAGGCAGTCCTCTGTTTGGAGCACCATCTACTGGTAGTCCTGCAAATAATTTACAAACTGGTTTCAAAAATGAGTGTAAATTGAGAATATAGAAGTTTACTTTAGCTCTGTTGAACTTTATGTACTAATTGCATTGTTTGGATTGATTAAAATTAAGAGTGGTTTCATAAAACTAGAATGCCTCAAACTAGTGTTTGACCTTCAACCATGTTTAAAATTGGCCAGCTGTTGAGTTACCCATGTTCGTGATCTTGAAATTTGTACTGGGAATTCTGGTGTGATTTCAGAATATGGGGGAAAGCATTCTCTCTTTTTTAATGTTTAGTTTTGACATGGAGCATAAGTGGGGGAGGGGCAGAGAGAGGGAGACAGAATCTGGTTCCAGGCTCCTGACCTGTCAGCCCAGAGCCAGACTTGGGGCTTGAACTCATGAACCGTGAGATCATGACCTGAGCCAAAGTCGCTCAACCAACTGAGCCACCCAGGTGCCTCTAGGAGGAAAGCGTTCTGATTCAGGACTTAAAACAGATCCTTAGTAAGGCATATTTGATTTTTAAAAAATTATTCTGTTAGTGTCCTTACTGCCAGAATAGATAATCAAATCTGGTTTTGGCCAAATCAGCTCTAATTTATGCGTTTATCCCTTAATCTTCTAGCCTCTTAAGAGCATGAGAATTCATTTGGTTGCTAAAGTTTGGGTTCAGCCCAACATAAAGGCTACTGGCTGCACAAGTGGTGCAAGCCCCTTGATTTTAAGTAGTTTTCAGTATGGAGTGTAAGAATCCTGGTGAAAGTTACTGGGCTTGCATTTCACGTTTCAATTGGTTTTCTGCTAAGTTCAGCCCCAAGCTCTCCACCCAAAACATTTCTTGGCCATAAGTGTTCACAAATTCTAAAATGGCCAACTCTCAAGGGTAACAGTTTGTTGGGTGTTAATGTGACTTTACATAGGCTTTAGATTGGTAGTAGAATATATTCATTTTGTTACCATGAAATGCAGGAATACTCAATTATTCTATTTTATCATGTCTTTCACTTCCAAACCCATAGGTTTTCTCATCCAGTTGGTAAGTCTTTGGGAATTTCCATGACTTAAAATTGAAACTTAATGATGTCTAGGAGACTGCCACATGGTTCCTGAAAGGTAGTTGATCCCTGGAAATCATTGAGAAGGATCATGATTTTGTCCTTTTCCTAAATAGAGAAATAGGAACTAAGTGTCCTGTCCATCAATCACTGGCAGAAATGAGTGAAATAAGGAAAATAGTCATTCACCTTGGACTACCCTTAAGGGGCCCATAGGTCTCAAGAGTTTAGAGCTCTGGTTTTTGTGGGAGACTACATAACAAAGATAATGCTAAGTTAATGTTAACAATTACTTCCTGAGTAAGCAAAAAGTATTAACACTTGGGCAATTGAAAGTTTAATGTTTCTGCATACATTGAAAAATCACCTTTTCAAGAAAAGTTTTACAAGTCTGTTTCATATCTAAGTTTTTTCATGGACAGTTTGTCCATTTGGTGGTTTTCCAGTATGGGAAGTTTATTAATTGGACTGTTCACCTGTAGGTTTGTGACTATAGGTTGTCTGTGTAAATACTTAGCAGTGGGATCACTGCATTGTATGGCAAGTGTATGTATACCTTTTGTAGGAAACTCCCAAACTAGTAATCGATTTTTAAGCTGCAGTATTCCTAGGCATTGGAGATAGAATTGCATACAAAATGGACAGGTCTTGCCACTTGAGTTTATAATCCAGTGGGGGAGGTAGATCCTACCTTAAATGAGCAGGTAATACTGAATTGTGATGATGCTATGAAGAAAAATGCCTTGTCAGGCATAACTTGATCTGAAGGACAAGTAGGAGTTGCTGGAGAATATGAAAACATTAGACATCCAAATGTCTAGTGAAAGTAACAAGGACACACAAATTGAAAGAATCTAAGTCTTTTGTAAATCTAACTTCAAATCAACTGAGTATATTCATTGAAGTCTGCTTGAATACCTCATCAATGTATATGTCACTCATTGGAGGGCAGAGACCTTAGGGCAAGTATTAATACCCTCATTACAGATGACAGACTGGGGTACAGTAGCTCCTAAGTCATCTATTGCTGGATGAGCTTTTTGTCTCCATTCTATTTGCTTGCTAGTGACATAAAACTTATGTTCTTTTGTAAGGTAATTGAACTATTTTACTTCATTAAGAATAATTTACTTGATCCCAATTATATCTTTTTGAAAAAAAATCTTTGATCTCTCTACCCAAAGTGGGGCTTGAACTCATGACCCTGAGATCAAAAGTTGCATGTTCCTCGACTGAACCAGCCAGGCACCCCCAATTAATACCCTTTGGTCACATCTACACTAAACCGTTCTTAAGCTGTTTCTGAACCTTAGGTCACAGGGTTTCTAGATTCTTCTATGCTGTTCCCCTTTCCAGTGTATAGCTTTTTAAACTTTTTATCAAAATTAAATCTGTGGATGTACAAGTGTGTAGTCTCTTCCGTTGACCCAGGAGACCCAGGAGTCTGCCTGACTTGGACTTGAAAAGCTGTCCCTTTAATCTGTGCATAACTGTCCATCTCAAGATTGTTCTGAGGGTGAAATGAGTTAGTTGGTGTGGACTCTAGCCCAGTACCTGGCCTGTTGTAAAAGGCCAGTAATAAAAGGTAGCTTTTATTGCAGTTGTTGGAAGATCCGTTGCTTTAAAAGTTTTTTTTTCTTTTTTTTTTTAAACGTTTATTTTTGAGACAGAGATGAACCAGGGAAGGGTCAGAGAGAGGGAGACACAGAATCTGAAACAGGCTCCAGGCTGTCAGCACAGAACCCGATGTGGGGTTTGAACTCACGGACCGCGAGATCATGACCTGAGCTGAAGTCGGCCGCTCATCCGGCGCCCCTCTAACATTTTTGAGACCAAGACAAAGCATGAATGGGGGAGGGTCAGAGAGAAAGGGAAAAGTTTTTTAAATGTTTATTCTAAGAGTGAGTGTAAGAGAAGCAGAGGGGTAGAGAGAAAATCCCAAGCAGGCTCCACACTCTGCAGACCCTGACATGGGGCTCAAACTCCTGAACCCTGCAATCGACCTGAGCCAAAAGCAAGGGTCAGTTGCTCAGTGGACTGAGCCACCCAGGTGCCCTAAGGAGGTTATAACACAGATTATGATCAAATATCATCTGACTTTTTAAATGCAAATTACATTTTAGATCTTTAATTGCATTGTGAAGTTTTTTAAATAAAACTTTGGTAGTAACTAGGTTCATAGAAAAGTTGGGAAGATAGGATAAGAGTTTCAGTATACCCCTCACCTAGTTTGTTTCCCGTTAACATCTTCCACTTCCATAGTATAGTACATTTGTCAAAACCAAGAAACCATTGTTACCTTACTATTTCCAGGCTTTATTCACATTTCAACAAGTATCTAATCTGACACTCATTTTATTTTTGAGAGTAAGGGACAGCATGAGTGGGGGAGGGGCAGGAAGCGAGGGAGACACAGAATCCGAAGAAGGCCCCAAAGCCCTGAGCTGTCTGCCACAGGAGCCCTATGGGGGCTCTAACTCAAACCAGAAACTGAGACCTGAGCGGAACTCAGAGACACCCAGGCACTCCTGTCTTGGTTACTTTTAAAAACTGAGACGTGCCTGGGTGGCTCAGTTAAGTGTCCTCACAATTCAGGAGTTCCGAGCCCCACATCGGGCTCTGCTGACAGCCTGGAGCCTGTTTCAGATCCTGTGTCTCCCTGTTTCTCTCCCTCCCTCCGTGTCTCTCAAAAATACTTTTTTTTTAAAACCTCAAATATTGAGGCATCTGGGTGGCTCATTGGGTTAAGCATCTGACTTCAGCTCAGATCACCATCACAGTTCCAAACCCCACATGAGGCTCTCTGCTGTAGGCACGAAGCTTACTTCAGGTCCACTGACCCTCTCTCTGTCCCTCCTCCACCCCTGTGTGCACCTGTGTGCTCTCTCAAAAATACTTAAACATCAAATGTTGGGAGTTTACATTTATCCCTGCTATATCTCATCTTGTTGGGGTAATATTGAATCTGGAACCTGCTATGTAAGCATGTTAAATAAAAATGTGGACTTTGTTTATATATCTAATATTTATATTTCTGTAGTTTTATTTAAATTATTACTAGGTACTAAATAAGGTCCAAAAACAGACCTGAGCTATTGCGCTTGGAGAACTATTCTTTGATTATGATGGTCCAGCCACCTGCAAATTCATCTAATATTAAAATCTGGGTCCTA